GAGTTATTACCCCTATAGCTACAAGGTAAGTTTAAAATATAACATCATTGATTTTAAGTCTTTACAACACTCCTGCCAGCAGGACATTCTCGACAAAACATTTTCACATGAACTGTACTTAGTGTGTTATGATTCATAAAGAGGAGTTACTTCCAAAAAACTCCTACTCAGGTACTGCCTGCCCTATCAGTTTGAATACAGTAGGTTCTCTTTTTATAAGGCATTAAAAGACCGAACATCATCGCAACACACCAATTAGTCTTTGATCACATCACCAACACAGCTAATCCTACAAATTACTGTCAAACTGCTGGTAATTTTTTTTACAAGAAACTCATCAGTGTTGTGTTGCAATGTTCCAATATTGATTGAAAGTTTGCTGCATGAAATTAGCATCAGACTCACTTCATAGGAATTTAAATAAAAAAGTCATATTTCACATGACTATTTTTGAAGTGTGATTTCCTGACAATGGAAATTTGAATGCTACATTCTTGCAGTCTGTTGCGTTGATAAACAGGCAAAAATTGAGCAATTTTATTTTGTTTCTTAGAAACAGATCAGCAATTAGCTTGTTTTACATAGAGAAATGGAACTTGAAAATAATTCACAAACTATTCTTGCAAATTTGAAGTGAAAGTTGCAAGTTGCATTCAGCAAGCTGTCAATCAATATTTTTGCATCACAATGCAATATTTTAGAGTTCCCATCAGGAGGCAACCAGTTTGACTATAAATTTCTATAGTCAAATGTTAACCAGATGTTCTTTTGATGGCAACCTTGCAAACTTCTACCTGAACATTGGTATTTGATGGCAGTCTGAGTCGAGCAAGCTGCAACCTATGTGAGCAGGTTGAAACTTTCAATTTGAATTTGCTGAGTAGGTTCTCAAGCCCTGGTTTTCATTTTGCCATATAAAGTCAGGTAAGGCAAACTAAGTTTCAAATAAACAGAATGATATTGCCTAATATTTGCTGTTAATCAACAGACTGCGATGAATTAGTGCAAACTGTGAATTTCCCTTAAAAATTCAAATCTGTCCCTCAAGGTTATGGCTTACACTTTTAATTTTGAAGCACGATTCCTGGTTTTGCTAATTTAACTAAGTCCGTCACTTATTTCTCGCAGTCTCTTGATAAACAGGCAGGCGACAGATGACTGAATTTACTCTGTTTCTTTGAAACAGAACTGGTATTACCTTGTTTTATACCGCAAAATGAAAACGGGAACTTGGAAACTTGCTTGAGCAAATTTATGTAGATACATTGTTCATTAATCAGATCTCTTGTTGAATACGCATCACCCGGGTAGGCAGCTCTGCCTGACTATCTATCGGATCTTATTGAAGCCGTTCAGAGGAGGGCATTGAAGATTATCTTTCCAGATAATGGTTATGAGAAATCATTTGTTTTGTCTGCCCTCCCAACCCTAAGTATGCGTAGGGATCTTGCCTGCATCAGGTTTTTTAAGGACCTGCCTAATTCTGAAGCTTCAGGGTCTCTCTACATGGTGAAAGTAGTTTCTCGTGGTTACAATCCTCGCTCAGGGGATTGCCTCCTTGTAGAGAGACATAGAGTTAGGACAGATAGATTCGCCGCTTTCTGTACTAATTAAGTTTTTCCCCATAAGAGGTAACCCTAGAGGGAATATTTATGATAACTTTTTGAATGTAATGAGATTTTCGTGCATGCTGTTGAAATATGATTTATTAAGGGTTATTTATTACATCGCACGCAGTGCCCGTGGGCAAGAGGAAGCAAATCCTGTGTTCTGATTGGCTACCCAAGAAGGCAAGATAGGCCCTCTTGCCCGCTCAGGATTGTCCGCATTGATCCCGCACATGAAAAAATAGAATATGAACTACATTCGTAACTCTTGGACACTTTCGGCGACGGAAAGGCAAAAAGCGGCAAAAGATATTCAAAACAAAGAAAATAGAAACGAATCGCGTGGGTTTGTTGTCCAACAAACACTGTTGGCTTTCTTTCCCAGCTCTCGAAGGAAAAAAGTCATTCTCAACTCTTATTATATGGCTGTGTCTCAGGAGGACTGCGAACTACCGAATTCACGAATTTGATTGGCTGAAATCAATATTAAGAGCGGTCTAGATTTTCCCATCTAGACCGGCATCTTGACCGCTCTAGAAAAAAAAAAGGTACAAAGAATATAAAGAAATTGGCATATATGACACAGCCATATAATAAACATCACTGCGTTCGGTCTGCATTGGCAACCACGGTCAAGATTCTCCCCATACAGACCTCCCGCTCGGTTAATAAGAACTAATTAATAAAGCGAAATATTATTCAATACAGTAAATCCTTTATTAACCAAGCTTGTTCGGTCAAGATGGTTGAATATTAGTCTCGATCTCTGCCTGTAAAAGAGTTGATTAAACATATCTATCTATCTATCTATTCATGCGAGAAGGTAGCCGATACCGTTGAATAGTGCTGT